CCGGCCCGCGTGGCTCCGGCCCCTCGACGGCGGCCTCTGTGAGAGCACGAATCCGCGACGCTCCCGGAGTCCTCCTCTGCCGGGGCCCCAGCGCGGGGCAGCAGCTTTCCCCCGCCACGCGCGACAGCTGCCCTGGCCCGGGCCGCTCTGCCGCTCCGCCCGATTCAGGAGAGCAGGCCTGGCGGGGCTCCACTGCCCCGGGCCCCCAGGCCCACGCTCAGCCGCGGCGGGGTGGACGGCCAGGAGCTCTGGGCTCCCCGGACCCGCCCTGCTGGGCAGGAAGTGACTTAGATCCGGAGTCTGGGGGCTTTCTCCAGGCCAGGCATCCACCAAATGCTGGGTACTACTGGAGGCAGTGGGGTTGCCCCAGTTTTACCAATGAGGAACCTGGGGCTCGGAGAGGGACAGGACTTGCCTGAGGCACCAGGCAGCTGGTGCCTGCCAAGATCCCACCCTGTCTCCTACCCGGGGTCTACTACAGAGTCAACCTGAAGTGCTTGCCGGGGTTTGTATAGGAGAAAGAAGTCACTGGGACTAAGAAACAGCCCAGGCCAGGAGCGGTGACTCACGCCTGTAATCCCAGCACACTGGGAGGCAGAGGCAAGATTGCCTGAGCCCAGAGGTTCGAAACCAGCCTGGGCAACTTGGTAAGCCCTCATCTCTACAATAAATCAAAAAGTTAGCCGGGTGTGGTGGCGAGTGCCTGTGGTTCCAGCTACTTGGAAAGCTGAGGCGGAAGGATCGCCGGAGCCCAGCAGGTCGAGGCTGTGGTGGCTGAGTGTGCAGAGTGAGACTCCTACTCAAAAAGAAACACAGCCCAAGGGAGAGCAGTGTCTCCTGACTTCCACAATAGTGAGGCGCACCTCACCGGGAGCAGGGCCCAGAAAGCTGAGCAGGAAGACCAGCTTCCTGGTACAGGGAAGGTTGCCCTGAGTGGAGCCAAGGAGGAGAGGAGAGGAGAGGGCATGGCGTCAAAGATTTGGCAGGACCTGCTGGTAAGTCCTGCGTTAGGTTCATGGTGGCGTCTGGAGATTTGGGGGATAAGGTCTCCCCTGCTGCAGCTGTCAACCAGGGGTCACACGGGGTAGCTGCAGCCAGCAGGGGATGCCCAGATTCCGCGATGAGTGACCATGTCTGAAGGGGAAGGACCCCCCTCCAAAGAGGGCCCCACCCCCAGGCAGCCAAGCACACCCCGAGCCCAGGACCTGTGGGTGCCAGGTGCACGGGAGGAAAGGTGCCCCCTGCTCCAGCCCCATGTGACACCGGGCATCACAGGGGCCGGAGCTGCTGGGTGGAGGGGGAGGGGAAGCCAACCCAACCCATGCCAGTGCCTGATACCCAGGGACCCCTTCACCCACACTGGCGCCAGGCCAGACCCAAGCATGTCCGAGAGCAGCTGCAGGGCCATGGGTGGTAGCCATCCTGTGGGCAGGGACCTATGGCCAGAACACGGGTTCCCCTCCACCTTCACAGGCCTGAGTTAATGAGGCCATCGAGGCAGCTTGAACTGTGTGTGCAGAGGGGCAGGGAACCCCGAGGGGTGGATCCTTTGACCACTGGCCACCCCCCAGTGGGAGGTGAGCAGGGCAGAGCAGGGGGTTCCAAGCTGGGCTCCAGCCCCCAAGCCCACCATCTATGGGTAGCCAAACTCGCCCTCCAATCCATCCGCCACCCGCCAGCCACAGGTGCTGCTCTTAAATCTCTGATGCACCTCTGCAGGGTCTTCAGATCTGCCCAGCACTCCTCACTTGTCATCCTCCAGCCAGGGGGTTCTTTCCTCAGCGGCTCACTTCTGCACCCAGGCCTTTGCACGGGCTGTGGCAGCCCCTCATCCCTCAGGCTCTGTTTTAACGTCTCCTCAGAGAAGCCCTCCCTGACCGCCAGTTAAATCAAGCCCCTCATGTGACTTCATCTCTCCATCCCAGTGACTTTCTAACAGTCGCCAAACCTGGCAAGACTGATGACAAGCACCTGGGGCCTGGGCCTGTGCATCCTGCCTGCCACTGGCATACAGTCATGCTCAGTGAATGCCTGTGGGATAGACGGCTGAGATGGAGCCTGGAGTGGCAACTCACACTCCTGAAGGCCTGGGCTCTTGCACCACCGGCCGGGAGATTGAGCCAGAGCCGAGGGTCTCGCTTCACTCCACCCAGAGAATCGGCCGTGATGCTGATGAAGACCAATCACCAACAGCAGCGTGTGCACACACATCACCAGTTGGGAGCCACATGGTATCACACTTAACTCTTGCTCTTGCTTGGAAGTCGCACTGCCACTGCCTTCTGGCACAGGAGGAAACCACGGCACAGGCCACAGTCAAGCATGGAAGCCTCGATGAGCCACTCAGCATCCCGCCCCGGGTCGGGAAGGGCCGCACTCCCAGGGCTGCGCTTGAAGAAGGCGTGGACAGGATATTGCTGCATGATTTTATTACTATAAATATACAGTAAAAACGAACAAACTGTGAGCCATCTGAGCACATCAGATGACAGCACATGAAGTCCCAGGCGGCCGGTCTGCAGCCAGTCCTTCACGCAAAGCCCTGGCGCTGGCACCGATGGCCTCTGGCTGGGCCTTGGCAGGAGAGGAGCGGCGTGAGGGAGGGAGGCCACCGCCTGAGTGTGGGGACAAGGGAAGGCTGGCCAGCCCGGAGGGGGCTGTGAGGACAGTGGTTCTCCGGGTGCCCTGCTGGGCAGCGCTGGTGCTCAGAGCAACCCCGAGCTTCGGGGAGGTGCTGTGGCCACGCCAGGGCATGCAGGGCCCTGTGGCTGCTGGGGACCATCCCCTGGCCCTCCCTCTGGGCAGCGGGCTCTCCCCACTCCCAGGCCCAGGCAGCTGTGCACACCTGCCCGGCTCAGGGCCCTGCTGAAGGCCCGGCACCCCATTTGCCTTTGTTGCTCAAGAAGTTTCTATTTAAAAAGGATGAGGCTGCCTCCGAGGCAAATTATCAGGGCTGGGACCCCACACCCTAGGTGGGCACTTCCCCCAGGGGCCTGAAGCGGCTAAAGCCAGGATCTGGGAGAAGGCACGGGCTTGGCAACGGGGCTGCCAGACAGTGACTGCCACAAATGGCTGTGCCTCCACCCTCAGTCAGGTCCACCCGCAGGCACACGTGCAGACGTTCTCTGGCCACCCAGGGAAGGGCTACAAGCCCCCAAAGCCCAGAGCGGGAGAGGTGGTGGCAGAGAGTGCCAGAGAGAACTGCCAGGGCCATGACAAGCACAGCAAAGGGCGAGAAGTAGCAGCAACAGCCAGGCCGCCGGGGATGACACACAGGGTGAGCGGACAGGCACTGTTTCCTTCATTGACCGTGACTTGTACCCACCACTGCCCCGAGCATCTGTGAAGACAGCTTTTCACCCCCAATAAATTCTCTTCTGCAGGTTTGCTGAGTTCTCAGGGCATCGACCCTGCCCCCAGCTGGTGGGTCCAAGTGACGCCAGTCCCGGCGACATGGGGGCAGCCCCTAGTCCCAGCCGCTCAGCCAGCGGGGCACTGGGGAATGGATGCCCGGGATGGGAAGCTGCTGTCCTTCATTTTGTACCAGGAACAAATGTATCAACCATAGAAAAAGGGTAGGAGGGAACAATCCACTGTGCTCTTTGATCAGGGTCACCAAGGCCCCTTGGAGCCTGGCGGCCAAAAGGGGCATGCAAACAGGAGGGGCCAGGGTGATGGTGGGGTCCAGGGCAGCCCCTCGGCCAAGTCTGGGAGCCGAGGGCTCCAATCTGCTGGCCTGGCCGGGCTCTCAGAGAGGGGTCAGCTCGGCGGCACTGGGATCGGGGCTGGGGCCACCACGTGGAGGCCAGGGGAGGTTGGTGGTGCCCAGGCTGTGGACCGTCTCCATGGAGGTGGACCATCCTGCAGGCGGGAGAGAGGGAAGGGTCATGCTCACACACTTTGTCCTATGTCACCTGCTCCTACCCACCTGGAGCCTCCAGGGCAGGGCCACTCAGCACCCTAGCCCTACCACCACCTGTAGTCGAAGGGCCTGAGGTCTGTCTCTCTGGGGCAGGTCACACCCGGGCACACCCTGGCTGCAGCCCGAGGACAGGATGCAGGGTGGCGCTGCAGGATGTTGGCCCCTCGGTCCTGCCCTTGCCCTGGTTTGAGTTTCCCAGGAAGTGACCAGCCAGTGTGCTGCAGAGTGTGATGACCAGGCCAGGATGGGGGGAGGAGGGAGCAGACCTGGGGAAGAACAAGGGATGCTGGGAGGGGCCTCAGGAGCCTGCCCCACCTTCCCAGAGGCCTGTTCTGCTGATTCCCAACTGATTCCCATCCGCACGCTGCTGCAAGGCACTACCCCTAGACTCGGCCTGTCCCCTAGGGCTTGGGCGCTGGCACAGGGAACCCAAGACACGCCTGCCACACCTGCAGCAGCAGCAGGACCAGTATTCTCAGGATTGTCTGAGGCCTGGCTACTGGCCCTAGCGCATGGCTGCTGGACGCACGCAGACAGTAGCCAAGAGCTTCCGCCATAGCCCCGGCCCCAGCCTTGGGTGCAGAATGCCTGCCTTCTCTGGGAGCTGTGCCCACAGCCACAGCTGAGAAGCCCTGCTCCAGGTCTGGCCTGCGCTCCCTGCAGATACAAGTCTGACCTAAGCCACGATATGCAAACAGCACCTTCCACCAATGGAGGCTGTGCCACCTGGTCAGGTGTTGGGCACTGCTTCAACACAAGGATAAGATGGGTCAGAAGAAACGTCCCTGGAGGACAGAAAGGCAGGCATGGGAACAGAGGAGCAGCTGCCAAGACAAGCGATGACGACGCACCTGGCCTGGCCAGACCAAGAAAGGTCCAGACTGGAGGCCTGGACACCAGCCAGCCCTTCTCAGATGGGCCACACAGGCTTCACCCACAATAGCTGGAGTCCTGCTGGGGAAGCCCTGGCCTCAGGACACCGGCTCCTCCGTCCAACATTCAGAGCTGCACACATAAGTGTGCCAGAGCCTTTGGGGGTGAGAGGTCCCAGCAGCTGCCTGTTTTCCAGTTTACTCCAGAGCTGCCTTCTGTAAAACATCTGTCTGGGCTACCCTGGAAAGGGCACCTCCCCGTCAGGTGGGCACCAGCTTCACGTGGCCTCCTCACAGATGCTCAGAGTGTGCTAGTGTTCCAGAAAGTTCCAGAGCCAGGAGGGACCAGTTAGCCACAATGGCAGGCTCAGAGCAGAAAGGCGGTCTACAAGGGGTTGTCTGCCAGGCACATGGTCACGTCAGGGCCAAGGAAGCCATGCTGACATGGGAAGGAGGGAGTGGGCCCTGCGCAGGACAGGAAGCATGGCCTCTGCCAGGCACCGGGGGGCTCGCGAGGATAGCTTCCCTCCACAGATAGGACTGTGCTTGGGCACAGATACTGCAGGGCCTCCCATGGCCTGGGGCACACCGTTTTTCTGATGAACTGGTATGTGAAGCCATGACCAGAAAGCAGGAGCAGAACCTGCTGGATATCCCACCACGTCCCCATGACAAGGCCTGGCCTTGGGCTGGGCCTCCCTTGGGATGTATGACCCAGGTCCCTCCACGGACAGCCTGGCCCTTCGGCTCCCGCCTTCTGCTGAGGATGGCGGAACCAGCATGCTTGGGCTGAGTCTGTGCCGGGCCTTAAAGTTTGAAAGAAGAGCCTGACCAGGCGGCTGGTCTAGATGGAAATCTCCCGGCTCCAAAAGTCAGGAGCCCCAGGAGCCACTTTTCCAGGGCAAAGGTGCCACAGCCATCGGAGAGCTCTGGATTCAGAATCCAGGCCCCTGGGAAGACACGGATGTGGATGAAGCCAGAACATCAGAGGCGCCCACGGGGGACAGGGGAGGGCTCCTCTCTCCAAGGACGCCCGCCACGGCCACCCCGAAGTGCGTATGAAAGGCAGTCACGTACCAGCTTACTCCTCTATACCAACAGAGCAGGAGTCAGGCCCCAGGGCTGTGCAGAGAGGGGGAGAGACAGACGGAAGCTCGGTTAGCAAGCACACACGGAGTCGGCATGTCCCGCAGCAAAGGCGCCAACCATAGGACAAGGAGGGCTGTCTAGAAACAAAGTGCCATACTGATCCGCTGCAGCCAAGGAGAAACCACAGCTGGGAGAGAGAGATTCTGGGCCACACATGTGCAGAGGATCACCGGCAGTGGCAGGGTGGGGGCGGGGTGGGGTCCACCTCTGGTTTCCAGAGCAAGGCCCCTGGGAAGGGCCAGACAGGCTGATCCTGAGGGGAGGCCCAAAGGACACCAAGGGCCTATGTTATCATTTCACGGATTTTCCCATCTACAGGGGACACCACAGTTGAATTAAGATCCACCCATCCAGGTGAAGCTATGCTGTGGCTAAAAACAGGACACCTGTGTGTGTTCGTGTTTCTAGACACACGGATGTGGAGGGGTCTTGATCTGGGAAGTGGAAAAAGACAGAAGAGAGGGTGCCTCCACATGGATTTTTTAAAAAGACACAGAAACCCATGCTTACAAAGCCTGCATGTCCACACAGGTGACGGCCACACGTCCACGTCCCTAAATGCTGATGTGCAGGCTCCTGGCAGCTGGAGCAGCCAACCCATGTCTTGTGCGGTCTGCAGAGTGAGGGTGGTGCCCACTGTGGGCCTCCACTGCCAGAATGCAGATTTGGCCGCTCTGTTGCCACCTCAACAGATAACTGCTCTGCCCCCATCTGTGGACCTAAAGAAGGCCCAAGACCCTCGCCTGAGGTCAGGGCACAAGACCCATATGGCTGGGGCTCATCTGCATACCGGGCAGAACTGGCGGTGGTCTGTCCTGACCCTGCCCAGACCTGATGGCTCTGGGCCCACACAAGAGAGGTGCAGACTTTCAGATGCTGCCTCCACATGGGGGCAGGATGAGAACTCACTCTCATGGCTCTCAGAAGCTGAAGTCCCTCCTCTGACCCCTCCCTATTCACTCCCCAAGTTTTTAAACAAAATGAAATACTTGAGGCCCTCTGAAAGAACATACTTGAATTCTGTGACACTTTAAAGTGTGCTGATCCTAAACCCAATTTCCTCTGTGGGTTAGACTTTGGGCAGGCCACTGTAGCCATCAGAGCACTGGTGATGCCTGCTCCTACCTGCGACCTGCCACACCCAGCCCACAGGCCATTGCTCAGTCAGAGTCGGTAAGGACAAGCGGCTTGTTCCAAGCAAAGCACATCACAACCCTTCAGTGCCTGGGCCCAAGTCACTGGATGACTCAGGGGGATTGAGTGGCAGGGATTTCAGGGCCAGGAAGGGGACAAAAGCGCCTCCCAGCCTCGTGAGAGGAGCCAGGCTCCCCAAGCAGCTGCTTCTGGGCCGCAGCCCTGAAGGCAATGGGGTCATTCGTCCTGACTCCAGGCCTCAGCAGGCACAGACATCTGAGAGCCTCTGCTTCCACCCCCTCTTTGGAGGCCAGGATGGGAAACTGAGGATCTTACCCCCAGTAGGGCAGAGAGCACAGGAGCTGAGCCTCTGGGGACAGAGAGAGGCCAGCAACACCCTTCCCCGGTGACCTGCTGGTGCCTGGCACCCCAGCCTGGCCTCTGTGCCCTAGTGTGGGATGTGCTGCTTGCTGCACCTGCTCCTGCACCCATGTCAGCCCTGGGGCAAAGGGGGCCGGGAGGCCGCTGCTCCTGACCCCAATCATCCAGCACAACACGTGGCTTCTACTCTCTTGCTGTGCAAAGCTCCTGGCAGCTGGAGCAGCCAACCCATGTCTTGTGCTGTCTGCTCACTCGGCACAGGGCTTGCCGGGCCCACAGGAAGGAGCAGGGATTAGGGCAGACATGGTGAGCCCAACAGGGACCAGCTTGGCCTGCCTGGCCTCAAGCATGACATGGATGGGAAAGGACCTGGTCCCTCTTTGGAAGCCAGGATGGGAAGCTGAGGATCTTACCCCTAGCAGCGCAGAGAACACAGGAGCTGAGCCTCTGGGGACAGAGAGAGGCCAGCAACACCTTCCCCACTGACCTGCTGGTCCCTCCATAGGCAGCCATTCCTGCCTCCCGGGGCCAAGCCGGTTCCAGAGTGGGAAGGGGACTTGGGAGCAGGCGCCACTCTGAAGAGCCAGGCCATGCAGTGGGGCTGCCTTTACAGGCCCAGGCCTTGCTTTGGGAGTGGACAGTGGGAGTGCTGCTTAAAGGTACGGAGAGAAACAGACCTTGACCGTGCTCCCAGGGACAGAGCCAGGCACCACCCCCAGGCCTAGCAGCTGCAGCACCCTCACCTGGCAGGAAGATGTCAGTAGGTGGGCCCTGTGGGCTGTGGCCACAGTGCTCGGGGCTTCCGTCCTGCAGGACGTTATCGATGGACGGCACTCGGCTCCCTGTGCAGGCAGAGGGGCGAGGTCAGGGCCAATGGGCGGGGCCGGGTCCCAGCAGGTCTCTCCTCTCCAAGGGCTCAGCAGCCACCACGTGGGCCCTGGGCTTGGACTCCAACCTGACTCCCCCCAACATCCCACCTGCTCTCCAGGAACCCCACAGGTGGATGCTTCCTTTTCTTCTGTTCTTTCCCTTCTTCCCACACCTCAGCATGGGACTTTTTGCTTTTGTTATGAAAACACTACATTATCCATGCTTCGAACTCAAGACCGAATGTAACAGGTGCCATCTCCATAAAGACAGCCCTGCTGGGTACACAGTGCAGCCTGGCCTGGCAAGGGTGACCCTGGCCCGCCTCTCACACGTCAGTCCTTCCCAGGGCCTGTGCTTCTCAGTGCTGCCGTGGCAGCCTCATGGACAAGGGGCCCCTGGCAGAAGGGGCTCCGTGGCCCCAGCAAGCCAGGGGTCTGGTTCCCGCTGGGCTTCAGCACCACGGGAGGAGGGGCTCACCTTGCTTCGGGGACGATGACTCATCAACCTCTTCTGTGATGAAACTCTAGGAAACAGAGGAAAATCAACCCGGAGCTTGGAGAGTGGCAGTGACCACTCCAGGACATGCCACAGAGCGGGGCCTCCAGTCCTCACGGCGACCCCAGGCAGTACGCAGTCCGCCCACCCCACAGATGAGGAAACAGGCTAGGGGCTGAGAAGTGTGGGGGCATGCCAGTAGGCGGGGGGACGGAGTCTGTTCTGGTGGCATGGACTGGAGGGCCTCACCTCGGGGGAGCCTCGCTTCAGGCCTCACCTCGGGGGAGCGCGCTTCAGGGCCCTCATGGCAGGGGGAGCCTTACTTCGAGGCATCACCTCTCGGGGGGCTTCGTGCAGGGCCCTCACCTCAGGGCCGCCCTGGGGAGCCTCACCTCGGGGGAGCTGCTTTCCCTCAGCGCCAGCTCTGCGTTGCCCAGCGGGGGAGGAGCGTCTGAATCCTCTGAGAGTTTCTCCTCGTCCTCTTCATGGATGGGGGATGATGGGGACCTCAGGGTGCTGGGGACAGAGAAAAGGGTGAGGTGTAGAAGCAAGGGAGGTCAGCCCCACCAAAGCCAGCCTGATTCCCTGCCCAGATACCACCAGGGTGACCCTGCCACATCTGCCGGGATCCACAGATAAATGACGGAGAGACTCAAACACCCAGCAGCCGCACAGTCGCCTCAGACCCATCCAACAGGCCCTCTCTCCTGCACACTGGCACAGGCCTGAGCTCCTTTTTCTTTCTAAGAGAGAACTGCAACTGCCAGACCCCACACTTCCTTCGCAGCTTGGAAGGTGTTTTCTCCATGGACATGCTGGGGGCCCTGCAGTGGCATCACAAAACCAGTACCTGCCTTGGGCTTTAACACTACTAAACACTAACGAGCAGGGCAACATCCACACAGCAGGCTGCTGGCCACTCCTGCAAGTCTCCAAGGGACCTGTGACTGACCCGTGGCCTGCCCCAGGAGCGGACCATGTCCACTCGCATATCAGGTGCCGGCGGCAAGGTCAGTGAATGCGCCTGTCTCACGGTCAGGGTCTTAAGTTTTCAGCTGCTGTCACAGGTTGCTGGCAGGATATGGTTACGTGACCAGTGCCCCCCCACAAAGTCCTGGAACCCTAAGACTTGAAGGGGCTCCCCTTGGCAAACACACCATATGCCCTGCAGTCTGCCCCTTGAGAGAGCACCTGCAGGAGTCAAAGCCGCTAGCTGCCACTGCTGCTCCGGTTCCTGCTGCCTGTGCCCACTAAGCTTTGCTGCAATAAGCTTCATCCACAAGTCTAACCTGCTACTGGGCCTGAGTCCTTCTAGCCAATCATGACACGAAACACATTAGAAAATGAATTTTTTTCTTCTTTTTTTTTGAGTCAGAGTCTCATTCTGTTGCCCAGGCTGGAGTGCAGTGGCATGCTCACAGCCACCGCACCCTCAACCTGCTGGGCTCAGACGATGTGGAACTACAGGTGTGTGCCACCATGCCTGGCTAATTTTTTTGATTTATGGTAGAGATGAGGTCTCGCCATGTTGCCCAGGATGGTCTAGAACCCCTGGGCTCAGGCAATCTTCTCACCTCGGCCTGCCAAGGTGCTAGAACTACAGGTATAAGCCACTGCACCCAGCAGAAAATGGTTAAAACCACAGAAAAGCGTGCTTTGCACCTCTGTGCTACTGCACACACACACATACACCCAGCCACAGAGAGCAGGCACAGAGGTCCCCACCCCTCCTGAGAGGGAGGCCCAGGTGCCGGACTCACCTGTCGGGGGACTTGCTCCGTGGCTTGCCCTTCTGGTGGCTGCTTTCCAGGATTCGGTCCATCCCGGCAAGTGGACAGCTAGCCTGGGACAGGCCATCCGAGATGCCCGAGTAGGTGATTTCTTCATAGAGAGGCGCCGAGGGGATGGCTGGAGAGATGGCCCGGAGGCCATTGAGTGCCTCGAGCAGGGAGATGGGCTCGTAGCCAGGTGGGATGCTGTCAGAGCTCTGTGGGGACAGGGCAGGTGACAAAGGCGGGTCGGCCAGGCTCCCTGCCCCCGGCCAGGATCACACCCAGGGCCCTCCTGCTCCCTCCCTCTGGCCATCCGCTGTCACCCTCTCCTTCCAGGGCCTTGAACTCAACCCGGGCCCAGAGGGCAGGTGAGAGCTTCCTAGTAGCATTGATGACATCCCTGCCCAGGGCTCCCTTGCCACCAGCTCCTGCACTCGTGCCTGGATACCCCAGGCACCATGTCGGTGCCCAGTGATGGACAAGGGGGCCTTTGGCAAGAGCCACCTGGCTCTGGCCAGCCCCTCTCTGGCTTTCTGTCCTGCCTGGCCACGGTGGAGAATGAGGGTTAGTGACGGACAGAAGTTGGGGACAGAGCGAAGCCATGCCAGAGGCAGAGACAGTCAGACACACTTGGACCAAAAGAGCCAGGCCCTGTGGGCTTTGCCCTGACCAGGCCTCTAGGGGTGATGTGCTCCAGGGGTTCTAACAGATACTTTGGTTAACAGCCAGTTTCCCCTTGTTGGGAGGGGATGGAATTGACAAGGCTGAGGAAGAAGGAGAATGCCCAGAATCAGTGGTCAGGCTGCAGCCCCGTTCCCACCCTCACAAAGCCAGGTCAAGGGCAAAGTGCCCATCAGCGCTCCTTCCGTGAGACCCTGGCCCATCTGAGCAAGCTCCTGGAGAAAGCGGAAATTACAACCCCGCAGCCCTGGGACTGGTGGAGGAGTAAGCATGGTCCGGACACCAGGCACCTGGCATGGGGCGTGTTTCCAAACCTCTGTCTGCCCCACATTTGCTCCCACACCTGCCTTCAACTTAAAGGTAAAGAATTCCTCTGAAGCCCCTCTCCCGTCTAAAACGGGAAGTGCTCTCTGGACTGATCCTTGCGCCATCTCCACCTCTAGTGATGCCTAGGCACACAGGGTCTCCCCAAGCCTGCAGAGGTTCCAGGTAGAGGCCTGGCCTGGTGGCCACACCATCCTGGTCCCCCCGCCTGCATCCTGGGGTGCCGGGAAAATGCAAGAGAACCAAGGTCCTGGGCCCGCAGAGCTACAGTCCAGGGGCAGAGGTGCAGGATGCAGGGCCAGGAAGCATGCGCGGGAATGCTGTTTGCAAGAGGAGCAGCGGTATTAGTTGCACCCTGGACATCCGTTCCACTGCCAGCAAGAAAAAAAAGGGAAACGGCGTTGGAGACCACGGGCAGCGAGGCAAAGCTGACAGGAGGGCAGTGCCCGAGGCCATGAGTTGACCCCTGTGGCCGCAGGCCAGCATGACTGGCTTTTGCCACAGACCTTGAGGCTTGCTTGTTCCATAAACTCCCCTCCTGGGCAGGGATGCCGGGACTGTGGGGAATGGATTTGACAGAGCACATCATCAAACAAGAGCCTGGGCGAACATGGTTCCCACACCTGTCATTTAAAAATGAGGGTATGGGGCAAAAAGCATAGCCAGAGGACCAAACACTTACTGTTTCCCTTTTAGGTTTCTTGCTGGCCAGGGAGGCGGGGTGCGACTTTGATTTTTTAAAGGGACACTGTCAAGATAAAAGTCATACATTTTACAACTGCCTCCTCTGTGCATCCTCTAGGGCATCATGCCCAGCGCCTTGAAAGCTCCTTGTGCACATGGACTCAGGCCTAAACGCAGGTCCTGCCTTGGGCCTGTACGCTGCCTGCTCACCTCCCCAGCCCCAGGAGCCAAGCGCTGGTCCTGCTCAGGTGTCAAGGCTGTGAACCCGACCCCATCTCTAATGGCCCACTGTGATCTGGGTCACCAGGACAGCAGACTTGACCAAGGTGGACATGAGAGGGGCTAGACGCTCCCTAAAGTGGGCCTGACTGAGTGTAGGGCGGGGACCCTGAGCCCACTGGTCAAAGTCCCCCAACCAGTGCCTGGGCCCCACCTGGGGAGCTTATCGCCAACTGGACACCTAGAGACAGTTGGGGAGAAAAGTCAGCCCAAGTCAACACATTCCATGCAAGCTTCCTGGACTCACTGGAGAAAATGCCTCATTTGGACTCTTTCTGGCACTATGTGGAAATGGCTCTGACAGGAACGTGACAGCCAAAGAGGAGCACTACTCTCGACCCTACGGAAGGGAAGGTGCAAGCCCTTCTGGGGCACGTGCAGTCAGAGCCACAGGGTCACATGTCAGCCCCTGGCCCCTGCCCTGCGGGGGTGCCTCAGCTCACTTGGGATAAGAGGGACAAGCACAGAGGGACCCGCCGGACTCTTGGCCACCAGGGCAGAAAGTAGGAGGGGCCAAAACAAGTGACAATAAACCCACCACCCACCTGAGCATCAGTCAACCCCTTTGTGAAGTGCTAAGACTCCTCTTTCAGGGGCAAATCCCACCTGCATGTCGCTCCTCTGGGCCAGAAACCTGCACAGGTGCGGGAGGGCCTGATGTTAGGAGCTCTTGTGCTGACAGAGGGGCCCAGGGGCCATAAATGCATCATGGCTGCCCCAGCACAGCTGGTGGGCAGGGGGTTGACAGGGACCCCACAAGCCATGTTTCTGCTCCAGCTTCAAGACCACAACATCAGACTTGAAAGAGAAGTCAAAAGGGAAGTCTTAAGGGAAATTTCCAGACTTTTAAAACACTGGCCTCAATTCTTGGAAACATCATGTGGTTGGACCTCTCACACCTGCTGGGATGGGCTGAAGACCCAGGACGACATCCTGATCGGGGAGGCTCACAGGGCCCTTGGAGCACGACGGCCCGTGCTGTGTGTGGGCCAATCCACAGGCTCTCTCATTTCTCTTTAAAGAGGAGGTAGAGCCTTTAGGAACTACTAGAGACAGACAACCTCAGCTGAGCACCAAGGAGGGACTCAGCCCTGACAAGCCTATGTCCAGGGGAACAGGGAGCCTGAGACCCAGGTCCTGTGCTAGGCGACCACTGTCCCACACGCTCCTGTCTACTCATCCCTGTCTCATTGTGTGTTTCTCTCCATGTCTCTGTGTGTCTCTGTGTCTCTCTTCCTGTCTCTGTCTCTATGTCTCTGTTTCCCTGTCTGGCATCTCTCTCCATGTCTCTGTGTATCTCCATGTGTCTCTTCCTGTCTCTGTCTCTATGTCTCTGTGTTTCCCTGACTGGCATCTCTCTCCACGTCTCTATGACTCTCTGTCCCTCCATCTCTCCCTTCAGGTCCTTGAAGCCAGAGCTCCACCTCCCCCGTCTCCTGAAGCAAGGTCGACCTGGAAGGTCCCTGGGAGGAAGTCTGCTGGGCCATTTACCGAGTCCCCTTGCCCAGGCCCCAAGGCTGTCCGCCGAGCCCTGAAACCAGCATCTTGTGAGGGAGAGAGCCTGGCTCTATCACCAGGAACCATGGAGCCCCTGGCTCGAGGCGCTCACCACGGCGGCACCCAGCAACGTCACAGGCTCTTGCTGTGGCAGGAACAACAACAATCCCAGCCACTAACACCCCTGGGACCCAGCCTGGCCACCTCAATAATGCCTCACAGCGGCCCCCAGGGACCATGCCTGCCTACCTGACAGATAGTCTGGGGCCTGGGCTCTCGACCCCCCTCTGCCCTCTGCCCCCTGCAGGCGAGGTGGCACTTACAGAGTGCTCGTCATGGTCTAAGCTCTGTGCCAAGACAGGGCTGAAGGACACAGGGGACAGGGCTCCTGGCTTCTTCCGCACTGCCCGGATCTGCAGGAGGGCCCGGAAAGCTGCAGCAGAAGGAAGGTTCACATTAGGCAAGGGCTCTGTGTCCCACACTACCAAGGGGATCCCCAAACCCCAGAGACTGAGCACCCACCCCCCCCAGTCCCACCCTACAGCAGTCCTGGGACAGGCCCAGTTTCCAGATCAAGGGCAAATAACATCTTAACGAAACAGCCCCAGGCAGGGAGACACAGCAAGGCCAAGTGTGCTGCCCAGGGTGGGAGCCAAGAGGGGCTTTCCAAGGGGCTGGGCCAAGACACACCCAGCTGCACATGAGATGGGGGATATGACTGAAAATATGTCCCTCGGCCAAGTTCTCGGTTGTAGGCCCCTCCCCAGGGAACCCTGCTGAGAGCAGGATAGCAGGCGGGGACATCATGCTGGAAAAACAGTCACGGACAGTGGCCACCGGGAGCTGGGAAAACAAACCAGGACCCAGGATGCCCATCATCTCACAGTGCCATTGCATAGAAGGCCCCGCAGGCCCCTACAGAGTGTTCCTCAGACACTTAGCAAGGATGCAGGCCACACCTTCTGGAGAGATGGACCACAGGACAGAACAGGGACCTCCCCAACAAAACAAAATGGCAAAGAATCTGTGTCCCAGTGAGGTAGCGTCAGTCCGGTCTGTAGTGCTGGGGGTCTTTCCTCCCGGCTTCAGAGTCTACAGACTAACTTATATCTCTTAGAATAATTCTTCAAGACTCATCACATAGCACGAGTCAGAATTCTTTTTTTTTTTTTTTTACAGATAAGGTCTCACTCTGTCACCCAGGCTGACAGTGGCACGATCATGGTTCACTGCAGCCTTGACCTCCTGGGTTCAAGTGATCCTCTTGCTTTAGTCTCCTAAGTAGCTGGGACTACAGGAACGCACCATTACACCTTGCTAATTTTTAAACTATTTGTAAAGACAGGGTCTCACGATATTGGCCAAGCCAGTCTTGAACTCCTGGCCTCAAGTGACCCTCCCACCTCAGCCTCCCAAAGTGCTGGGATTATAGGCATGAGCCATCACACCCAGGTTACTTAAGCTTTAAAATAAAGATTTCACTTATTGATCAACTATTGTCCAGTTCAAACGTCATTGCAGTCATCTGCCCTGGAGCATCTTTGTGGCCCTTCATTCTACATGTCTCATCTTCCTAGAGGCAGCCTTTGAAGGTCTGAATTGCACCCCTGCTATGCCCCTGCTGTCAGCACTAGTGTTAATTAAATTAACTAGCTAGTTGACCAGGAACTAGAGGAGAGAGCAACAGCCCTTCAATTCTGTAGCCAGCGAGAGTCCCGCGGCCCCAGGGACTGCCCTGGCCCAGGGCTTCTCCAGAAACTTCTGGGAGCCACAGGCTTGTAGCACTCACGCAGCCGGCAGATGGGGCAGTTGTTGGCCTGGTAGCGCAGTGTGTCAGCGCAGGAGGTGCAGAGGCACAGGTGGCGGCAGGGCAGGATCAGCGTGTCGCGCAGGTCGGACAGGCACACCACACACTCGTTGCTGTTGTCGCTGTTCTCGTCATCTGAGGGCTACAGGGACGAGAGCCTGCAGGTCAGCGGGCTCCCAAGGGCCGGAGCAGGGCCTCGGTTGCCCTTCCAGTCCCCAGCTGTGCCACCAGCTGGGCCCCTCCCCCTGGGGGCAACGTGGCAAAGGGAAGCCCAAAGGGCAAGAGGTTGCCTGGAGCCCCAAGTGCTAGGCTCAAACCCAGCCCACGCCCGGGGGGATTTAAACTATCCACGCCCGGGGAGAGTTTGCTGAGGGGAGGGTTTGAACTACTCTCCCCCAAATCATGAGAACTTGTGTCTCTGCTTTTCCATCCCACAGAGAAAATAAGGAAGAGACGTTCCTAAGGAACACATCTCCACGGTGGTCGGGTACCTGTTTAATCAGCACGCATGCAAAAAACAAACAAGTTAACTTATTGGAAATATTTTCACTAAGTAATGGCAGCTTCCAGAAACCAAATGAGCAACTGGACCAAAAGAAATCAAAATTCTAAAACAGGGATCAGCAAACTAAGCCCACAGGCTGTTCCTGTAAATAAAATTTTGTTGGGACACAGCCACACCCGCTCGGTTTCCCATTGGCTCCACTGCAGCTGCCTAACAGTAGCACCGAGTAGGTGCTGTTGAGACCATAGGATCAACCAGTCAAAAACATTCACTCTCTGGCCCTTTGCAGAACGCTGGCCGGCACCTGCTGTAAGTGAGCATGCTGCATGCCCCCGGTTGAGGTTAGGCCCCAGATGCTTTGAGCACCCCGATTCTAGATGATTCCAGCTGTCCTGACCCAGACGCTGGCGTGTGAGACACTCGGATTTTAACAAACAGGTGAGAGTTTCATTCAGCCAAGCGTGCCTTGAAAGACAGTGAAGACGGCAACCGGGTTCCAGTTTCATTCTCTGTTCCCTGCTATGACAGACCTCGACTCGTCAGTGGCCACAGCTTCTATGTTCACCTAGAAGGCACATCCCTCCCACCCCTCCTCTGCTAGCTGCAGGGCCCGCGGTCCCCAGGGAGGTGGGAGGCGGCCGCCAGGGGGCAGTATCAGCTTGACTGTGAAGAAGCTGCCCAGGCAGCACAGCTGCACCAGGAAGAGGGCAGGAGGCTGCCCCTGTTTCCAGCTGCCCAGGAGGACCTGGACGACAATTTATATAACAAGCCAGAGAATTTGCTGGAAAAAGGACAAAATGTTCCATCAACACTGTTCACTTTTTATACAAGACTTAAGAAAAAGTGATGGCGTCTAGGAACCCTGGGAGGCACGGGAGGGAACTGGTTCGTCTGCTGTGCCCCAGTGGTTCCCAGGCAGGGGCTCCAGCAGGGCAGAGGGGGGCTTGGGGCGTGGCCGACCCAGAGGCCTTGCAGGCGCTCACAGGTCCGCACCTTGGTCTCCTGGTTGTTCTTGTTCTCGATGCCGTAGATCTCCTGCAGGAGGTAGCTGACTCGGTCCACCTGGGGGAGATAGGGGCTTGCTGGGCCCTCATCAGCACTCCATGAGGCCTCCCCACACCCACCTGGCTTGACCCCACCTCCAGGGTGCCAGGCTTGCATCCCAGGACATGTGTGGCTGAGAATTCTGTCCAGCCTGACCCTGGGGCTGGGAGAGAGGCAGGAAGACCTGCTACCTGCTCAGCTCAACCAGCAGGATGGGAAACAGGGGTGGGACCAGCAGATCTGCCCACCACAAGGGGTCTGGCATCAACAAGTGGGCCTGAGAACCACATTCCTGCTGGCCTCGCCACACCCAACACCACTTGGACCACCCGTCCCCAGCCCTGCAAGAGTGACAGGGGCAGATGCCTGAAGGCACCAGATGACAGCCTAAGCACCCACAACCTCCTAGAGTCTCCTTCCACAGGACACAAAAGTGTTTGGTCTCAAAGACACCCAACCAATGTCTAAAAGTCGATTCTGTCCTGCTGTCCCTCACACAATGACCATGTTCCAAAGCATCCTGAACTACAGGGCTTCCCACGTTCCACAGACCACAAACACTGCTCCAGAGGGTCTGGGGCCTGCTGGCCAGCTCTCCAAGACAAGTACCCTTGTCTGCCACCAGGGTCTCCTGCGCCCTGGCATCTACACAGGTCTGGATCTGCCAGAGCTCATTCGACCTCTCTTTTAGAAAGAGACAAATGTCACTCCCTAGCAGAGGCTTGAGGCAGGTCTTGTGCCTCTCAGCAGCAACACACAGGACAATTGTCAATCATGGCTTTGGAATATAGACCTCAGTCACAGTTCATTAAAATCCATCTCACAGCCGGGCTCGGTGGCTCAGCCTCTAATATCGCGTTTTGGGAGGCTGAGGTGAGTGGACTGCCTGAGCCCGTGGGTTTGAGACCCGTCTGGGCAACTTGGTGAGACCTCATCTCTACAATAAATCAAAAAATGAGCCGGGCATGGTAGCGCATGCCTATAGTTCCAGCTACTTGGAAGGCTGAGGCGGAAGGATCACTGGAGCCCAGCAGGTCGAGGCTGCGGTCGCCGGAAGTGGCCACTGCACTCCAGTCTGGGTGACAGAGTGAGACTCCGACTCAAAAAAATAAATAAATAAATAAAATAAAATAAAATAAAATCCATCTCACTATCATTGCTCAGTTTAGGGGACCCTGTCCCTTAAATTCTCAGTGCTTAAGTAGAGACTGCCCAGTGTAGGACCACAGGATTACTGATCCCAGAGCAAAGGTATACTGGGTGACAGCTCTCACCTGTTCCAGGACATCTCATCCTTCGAGTATTGATGAAGTTCACCCATGTCTTTGTCCAATGCTTACGTATTTCCAGCAATTTGTAAGGAGGAGGAAAGCAAGCTGCAGTTGTCTATCTAGTTTCTTCCTTCCTCCATTCATTCATTCAGCAAATATTGACTTAATGCTAACTATGTTCCAGGCACCATGGTTCAAACTGGACTCAGGGTCCACAAGAGTGGTAGGTATGTAATACATGTCCACACTCCCAAAGACAGGGGCCTGACAGCCTGGAGCTTAGAGCCCACCAGGGAGACACAAGTCAACAGGCTCTTGCATGACTATTTCAACAGCAGCCAGAGTGGCCTGGGAAGAGCAGTCCATGAAAACTAGTGAAGTGTGTGTGTGTCTTTTAAATCACAAGGGATCAGACAGTTCATCTGATAGACTTACGATCTGCTTCTGCTTTAAAGGCTTCACTGAGAAGCTGCCGTCCACGTGCTGCAAGGGAGAAAGTACAGAGGTGACATGGATCAAGCTGGAACCTCTGAGCACTCCTGCTGAACCAGCAGAAGGCCCTGCATGACCAGCCTAGATCCACTGCTGAAAGAGGAGGGGTCCCACGAAGACCAGAGTCAGGTCAGGATGTCTCAACACGTGGCCCTCAGACCTGGCTTTGAAACTACACCGAGAGCCTCTTAAACATATGGCCCTGGCCCTGCGTTGACCTACAGAGCCCAGCTCTCCTGGTGATTCTTGCACACTCAAGGTGAAGGCCTCTCAGCCAAGTTCAGGTGATGGACAAGAGCTCCCACACCAAACAGCAGCATCTTGACAGGAAAAATTAAGAAAAACAAGATCTTGCTCTCAGAAGGCCTGGTTTAGTTAGGAAGACAGCACCAAGCACACACAGGCATTCAGACACAGGCAGGCTCAGAGATCCAAAAATGTGAGGACAAAATAGGACAAACACGCCCAGTGGTGTCCAGGGAAACACACGGCTCAGAGTTCCACGAGGTTAATTAAGATGTCGGAGCTGAGAACATGCGACGGCATTCACTGTCCCTCCTGAGGCAACCAATACCAGCACTCAGGACTCTCTGGTGAGGCTGGTGGATTCTGACAGAAATTTCCAGAATGTCAGGCTCCAAAAATAAAACAGTTTCTCGCTGGGTTCTGAACTGGAAGCACAGAACTGACTGTTTGCCAGAGAGCACCGCTGGGTGACCAGGCACCACCCCTTCTGACACAGCCAAGCTGGACAAAGCAGCTGGCCAGCCCTGTGATAAGGAGGGAGAAGGCCAACCTCTGCCCAGCTCCCAGGCCCTGAGGACAATGAGGGCCAGGATGACACTCACCTTCTCAAAGGCAGCCAAGAGTACGTGGGCATGGCCAGTCACTTCCACCACTGCCAGGAGAAAGAGAGAGAGGGTCAAAGACAGAGCAGGCCTACCCACTGGGACCTCTCTCACCTTCCTCCCCACCGGTAGCTTCTCAGTGCTGGGCCTGAGCCTTTTCCAGGATGTGCCTTCTTCAGCCCGGTGGAGGGGCCCAGGCTCCCCAGCAACTCCCCAGCCTCCCCTGGCCTCCAGGCTGCCCCACGAGGCAAGCCCGAGACCCTACACCTGAACGTGGGACATCCTCCACCACTTCTGGAAGAGAGTTCTTTCACTGGCCAAGTGGGAAGAGAGGATAGAAGAGGACATGCTCACCGTCTCCTTCGTCCACCACGGCCTGGATAACCACTGGAAACACACCACGGTCCAGGTCAAAGTTCAACTGAGAAGAAAAGAGGCAAGAACGGTCAGGACCCACCAAGCCAGGAGCTGGAGGGAGCAGGCCCAGGGACAAGGGCGGTCGGCAGAGCTTGTGGGACGCGGGTCAAACCGCAGGGAAGATGGGCACCCAGTGTGGACACCTTTTTGTGGTAAAACAGATACAACATAAAAGTTGCCATTTTCAGCCAGGCTTGGTGGCTCAGCCCGTAATCCCGCGCCTTTGGGAGGCTGAGGTGAGTGGATTGCCTGAGCCCACGGGTTCAAGACCCGCCTGGGCAGCGAGACCTCATCTCTACAATAAATAAAAAAAAATCAGCCGGGCGTGGTAGCGCGCGCCTATAATTCCGGCTACTTGGAAGACTGAGGCGAAGGATCGCCGAAGCCCAGCAGGTCGAGGCTGTGGTGGCCAGGAGCGGCCACTGCACTCCAGTCTGGGCGACGGAGTGAGACTCCAATTCAAAAAAAAAAAAAAAAAAAGTTGCCATTTTAACCAAGTCATGAAACCACCGCCAACCATTTCCAGAACTTTCGTTATTCCAAACAGAAACCCCATACCCTTCGGCACTCGCTCCCCGCCTCTTTCCCCCCAGCCCCCAGGCAACCACCAATCTGCTTTCTGTTCCTATGGATTTGCTTATTCTGGACATTTCACATAAGTGGAGCCACACAGTAGGTGACCTTTTGTGTCTGGCTTTTTTCACTTAGCACGTTTTCAGGGTTCGCCTATGCTGAAGCGTGGGTCAGTGCTTCTATCCTGTTCTGACTGAGTGCTACTCCAGTGTGGACAGCCCACACCAGCTGCGCGTTCATCTGCTGATGGACACGTGGCTGTTTCTCCCGCCTGACTACTGCGAACAGGGCTGCCATGAACATGATGCACAAGCATCTGTCTGAATTGTGTGTCTATTTCCCTTGGGAGTACCCCTCAGAGTGGAGCTGTGGGTCACATGATGACTAAGTTTTTGTAGAAAGGCACATGACTCGGACCCCACTAAAGACAGGAAGACAGCGACAGATAGCACATGGCTTGTCTGAGTTCAAGGAAAAACGTTCTGGCACTGGGCATCCTAGCCTCCCGCTGTGCTCTCCCCACCAGGGCCCGACAGCATAGCACTAGGCCAGGACCCTCAGTCCTCACGGCAGCCCTGCCCCCCAGTCCTCGCCCTGCCCCCGCTCCCAGTCCCCACTGAGTCTCGGGAAAGGTCTCCCTGGGTCCCACCTGACTCTCAGCCCCTGTGCGTCTCTGCACCTCTGATGCCCTCAGCCTTCCTGCAATGAGGAAAGTCACCGTGTCACCATTAGGGTCCCTGACTCCCTGCTGGATGAAAGCTGTGAGCAAGGAGACCCTGCCTGTCCGGCCACCACAACATCCACAGAGGACCAACAAACACATGCATTTATTTACTCTAGGGAAAAGAAAAAAAACATTTATTGTTCAGAAAAGATGTGCTGATGCTGGGAGTGGTGGTTCATGCCTGTAATCCCAGCACTTTGGGAGGCAAAAGGATTGCTCAAGCCCAGTTCAAAATCAGCCTGGGCAACATAGTAAGTCTCCGTCTCTACAAAAAAAAAAAATTAGTCAGGTATGGTGGTATACACTTCTAATCCCAGGTACTTGAGAGGCTAGGACAGAAGGATCACCTGAGCCCAGAAGGTTGAGGCTGTAAAGAGCCCTGATGATGCCACTGCACCCCAGCCTGGGCGACAGAGTGAGACCCCAACTAAAAAATAAATAAATAAATAAAAATTTACTGAAAGACAGGTGGCAGTCACAGCATTCTGAACATACTAAAAACCAATGAACTGTGCACTTAACTTGAGTGAGCTGTGTGAGATGTGAATGATAACATGGATTCAATACCTAAGCCCAGGCCGTCTGCAGTGGGGTCAGGGAGCAGAGTTTCTCTGTATGCTTCCAGGGCCTGAACAGCAAGCCATGATTGACTAAGACAGCCCCTGGGAGGAGGCGGGGGCCACAGCCTGTCTGCAGCCACTGTCCTGTCCCAGCAGAGCTGTTCCTGGCCTGCTCTGAGCCCGTGGCCATACCCCTGCCTGTGAACAGAGCCACTCAGAACCAACAAAGCCCCCAGTGGGAAGATGTATCTCTGCAGAGCCCCGGCTTCCCGTCTTTCCCGAGCAGAGTGTGCCTTGGACACACGCCCCCAGCTGTTCCTCTGTGAAGCAGGCAGTGAAGTGGAGCTGGGGCACATGACCCCAGCCCAGGGGCCCAGGGTGACTTCTGTTTCAAGTCCTTCTACTTCTCTGAGCCTGTTTCCTGCTCTGTAAAATGGGGTCATACTGCACCTACTGCGTGAGTTCCAAGGACAAGGTGCAAATGAAATCCTCCCACCGGGCCTGGCACAAAGATGCTGCCTGCACTAGTTGCTACAATTGTGAATATTACTATTATTTAGGGAATGGGGGGAACATTCATTCCTAAGATTTGTCAAAAGAGGGGTGAGACAGGGTGGCTCACAGCTGTAACCCAGAACTTTGGGAGGCTGAGGAAGGAGGATCACTTGAGTCTAGGAGTTTGAGACCAGCCTGGGCAACACAGCGAGATCTAATCTCTATACAAATTAAAATTTTAAAAGCAGTGGGCATGGTGCCTCACATCTGTAATTCTAGCTACTTGGGAGGCTAAGGTGAGAGGATTGCTTGAGGCTAGGAGTTCGAGGCCTGCCTGGGCAACATAGTGAGACCCCCGACTCTACAAAAAATTAAAAAATGATCCTGTCATGATGGTAGCATGGTATATGCCTATAGTTCCAGCTATTCTGGAGGCTGAGGCAGGAGGATCACTTGAGCCCAGGAGTTCGAGGCTACGGTAAGCCATAATCGTGCCACTGCACTCAGGCCTCGGTGACTGAGTGAGACCTCTATCTCTCTTAAAAAAAAAAAAAAGTCAACACAAGAATTTCCAACCAAAAATATAAATGAGGAGAAAGGAGTTAAGACAGACCACAGGGAGCAACGGAGAGGCAGAAGAGACCAGAAGAAACACCAATGCGAACGGAAATCCTTGACTGTGGCCCGGGAGGCCACACAGACACGGTGAAAGCCCGTGGTACGCAGGTGCTCCCAAGAACATCTTCACCCAGCAGAGCCTCCACACCAGCAGGAGGCCCGGCTCCACCCGGCACACAGTGACAGCAGCTTCTGCCACTGGAAGCCTGGAGCTCCAGTCTTAGGGACCCTTTCCCATCCACATGAGAAGCCCCGGGAAGGTCACCGTCAGCTGAACAAACCACAAGCCCGCAGCGTAACTCCACATGGGCCCAGTCTCCACGCTCATGAGGGAGGGTCACAGCAAGCCACAGGCCCCATGGGATGGACACCACTGTGCATGGGGACAGAGGCTCCAGCGAGGGGAAGGCCGCAAAGTGGCACAGGCCACATCAGCTGGAGAAGGGCTGGAAGGTAGCAGGGCGCTGGCACAGAGTCCAGCTCAGACTCCTGGCTTTGAGTATGGCTCCTCGCCTGTTCACTATGAACAGGCCTCCACCTGAGCTTCAGTTTCTCCATCAGAAAAAGGGGCCAGAAACCACGCCTAACGCAAAGGCTCTGAGTGCAGCGTCTGGAGGAGCAGGCAGCCGACAGCAGTGATGCGAGGCCCTAGTGTTAAGGCAGCTGAAGTGACAGGAGCGAGACCAGTTTCCCGCGGGAGCAGGGAGGGAGGTGCCTCCATCTCCTCTGGGGGGGCCACAGAGTGGAGAAGACGGGAGTAGAAGGTGGCGAGGAGGGTGGCCCTGGGCAGAGGCTTTGTGGAAACATCCACGCACACCAGAAGGCCTCAGGCTGGGAGGGTGGAAAACACGTCCACACCCACCCAGGACCCAGCCAGGCCTCAGGCTCCCCACCATCTGAGGGTACCTTGGAAACCTGGACTCCTCAGAGGGAGGACAGTCCTTTCCTTTGCTCTAGTCCAGCTCTGGGATGATGCGCAGGGGGTGATCACCCCAAGGGAGGAGGCCCGTGTGAGCCCGTATCCTGCACTCTCCAACGAGTCAGCACACAGGAGTCACCGTCCCAGGGTTGCCAGGTGACGCTCCCACAATGCCATCACAAGGGCTGTCATTATGCCCAGGAAGGGGAGTTCATGCACCAGAGGCTGCTCCCTTAGGCTATGGAGCCAGATGGGGAAAGCAGTGCCTGGGGAGCACGGCCCTGCGCCCATGCCCACCTACACCTGCACCCACGCCTACCCCAGCTTCTGTACGGTGCCCAGAATACAGCACACAACCAGCACCTCGGCGCTGACGTGGCCACTGGTGCTCAAGGAGCCCCTGAGCATGATCTGTGCTTTTTCTCAGCACGTTCTATAAACTGAATGCTGATGCTGTGTTTTGCTGGTGCAGGCATAAAGCCAACGGAAGTCTGGGAGGTATGTGTGGTGGCTCCACCAGCGGGCTGTGACCGCAGCCTTCTCTCTCCCTCTCTAGCTGGCAGACGGGCTCACAGTGGGTGGCATGTAAGCACTTCGCATACTGATCACGGACCCCTCAAGTCTGATCTAGCAAGGAGGGAGAGACTGCTTCGAACTCTGAGTTACATATGGAAAGCCCAGGCTCAGAGAGCAGAACCAGCCCAGGGCTTCACAGAGAGAAAGCAGTGGAGCAAGGTCATCTCCCAGGCCCTTCTCCTGGGCCCTCCTTGCTCCTAGAGAAGACCATGCTGCCCAAACACCCTGCAGTCTGTCCTCGCAACGCCTGGCTCTGACCAACCCTGACTGCCTGGGGCCTCTTTCCCAACCTGCCCTCCTCAGGTGGCGTACCCCATTTTCCTTGGGGAGCACCTCTCTCTGGGTCTGGCCCAGAGGACAGTATGCTCCCACCCTACATGGGGGCCACGGAGGAAGGGCACACAGCCCCCTAGCACTTCTGGATCCAGTAAGGGCTCTGCAGGGCACAGCCCAAGAGCAAAGCCAGCTTGGAGGAAGCGGGCCAAGCGGAGAGAGCCCATCCCCATGACGGGCCCTGGAAGAAACCTCAAGCCGCCCAGCCTTTCTGAAATCTATGCCAATAAATCCCTGGTTGCCTTTCAATCCCTGGTTGTTTTTCTGTCACTTGCAGCCATGAGAATCATGACAAAGACATTGCTCTGAAGGCCCTGCTGTGGCAGCCACTCCTGACACCCACTAACACCCAGTGACCATCACCGTCGAGGGAGCCATGTTCAGCTTCCTCAGCAACCCTTGCTGAAGAGCCCCCTGGCGAGTCCAGCGCTGGGCCCAAAAGCAGAGATAAGGACGACTGGAGCCTGGCGACCCCCACTCTCCCCGTGGTAGCAGGGCCTAGATGCAGCCCTCAGGATACTGGCCACAACAACTGCTGCCCTCCCCGGTTAACTCACTTGTAACCCACAGCTCACACCTCTGTCCCAGCCCCAGTACATAGAGGGTGAGGGTCCCCAGAGGGCCTGGGTAGGGACCCCAGGGAACATGGGACAGCGGGGAGCCAGGACAGAACCTCCCCAGGAGCCCCATTCCCCAGAGCTCAGCACACACTGTGCAGCACCCACAAGTCACGCAGAGGAGCAGGACACAGGACCACGTGAGTAATGCTGGGAGAGGGCAGAGGCTTCCAGCACTCAAGGAGTCTGGGGAAATGTTTCTTTTATTTATTTTTATTTTCTGAGTCAGAGTCTCACTCTGTTGCCCAGGCTGGAGTCCAGTGGCATCCTCACGGCCACCACAGCCTCGACCTACTTACTGGGCTCAGGAGATCTTTCCACCTCAGCCTTCCAGGTAGCTGGAACTACAGGCATGTGCCACTACGCCCAGGTAATTTTCTGATTTATTGTAAAGATGAGGTCTCGCCACATTGTCCAGGCTGGACTCAAGCAATCCTCTCGCCTCCACCTCCCCAAACGCCGGGATTACAGGCGTGAGCCACAGCGTCCAGCTCCTTTTACTTTTACACCTGCTCTTGGCCAACAGGCTGAGAAGCAGTACTTCTTTTACTTCTAACGCAAGCTTTCTTAGGGAAAAGTAGCAGCCACAGGCCAGGAGGAGAGCTGGGGTAGCGGGAACCGGCACGAGTTGCACCAAGCTCTCGGCCCGCAGGGTCTAGTAGGAGCCAGGAGTCAAACGTCTTCTCCCAGCCTCAGACTGTGAGACGCACTACAGGGCCTACTGCGAACAGGAACTCACCAGATCAGGGTCTTGGTAAGCCCCCAGCCGTATGGACTCTGGGAAACAAGGCCAAGGGCAAAGGAGGGAGGAAGCGGCTTTGAGCGAAATAAACAGAAGCTGGAGGGGGCCCATGGGGAAAACCAACCAAGAAGCCACCGAGGCGTGGCCTACAGAGGGCTTGAGGAGACCTGTGAGTGCTGATGCGAGGGAATGTCCAGAGCAGAATCAGGAAGGGATAAGATGACAAGGCTGAAGGGGTGAGCCCCATGGCCAACATCCATGGAGGGAGCCCCATGCCTCACACCTCCCACGGCTCAATATCAGAGCCTCAAGTGTGCTGCTGCTTGGTCCCCCCTCCAGTCACCCTGTCAGCCCCGGCCACCCTCATTCCAGTCTACTGCAGGGTCCCTGAGCACGGACTGGGGTGGCCACTCCTGGAGGAACCTGAGCCACCAGTCCCACTGCACCAGCCCCATCCCAGGGGAGAGCTCGGAAAGGAGCAAGAGGCCAGACTCACCTCATCATCCTTCCATTCCGAGAAATCCATCTTGAAGGAAGGCAGGGAGAACTGCTGGCTCACCCCTCTCTTGTAGTGAACGGTCTCGGACTGCAGCAGGGGGCTCTTGGGGCTGTACCTGAAGGGCAGCCAGGAGGAAGATGATGAGACTGCGGCAGCTCAGGCCTCTGCGCCGATCCGTAGGCCATCGCCTCACGCCTGTGATGGCCTCCAGGGCTGGCAGCCAACTCTCCTTTGAGGACCCTCTCTGGAGAGGAGCAGGAAGCAGTCTCAGCCCTCAGGAAAGGGCACAGGCTGGGATGCTGCTCCCAGGCAGACCTGAGCTTTCTCCCGTGGGCTTCATTCTGCTCACCACACGGCTCTGCCCTGGTCATGCCTGGCTACGATTCTAGAGCCCATGCCTGCCCGGCCCCCTGCTACTTCAGCAACATGGCCACGCTTTTCCACTGGGTGCAGTGCTTTTCTTTTTTGAATAAACATGGCACAAAAGTACATACAGGGCAAAATGCTCCTTCCTCAAACCCTATGCTTGCTCCCAGAGACCCATGTATCGCCCTGGAGTCGACACACATTCACACCCCTTTCGCAGCGCAGGTGTCTAACACTCACACAGTAGTCACATGCTGCTCGCCGAAGTCCAAAGATGTCCTGCATTGTCACATATCGGGCGCTGTGTTCCCCAAACTATGGCCTGGCCTGGGTTCCTCGGTGGTCTTATTCTAAATCATCCAGCCAGGGCCTTGGGAGACACCAGGTGGCCTCCTGTATCTTGCTATCCCCAACACTGCTTCAAGGAACACCTTCTGCACATGACTTGGCCACATGTACAGCTTATCCCCAAGACAGACTCCCAGAAGAGGAGCAGCTGGGTCAGCAGGCATGCACTTCCAACTCTGATAAACCCTGGTGTCTCCCCACACAGGAGCCAATGCACCACCCTTACCCTCCTCCCTCTGCCCCACTCCCATCCTCATTGTCCACAGGGGCACCTCTGGGTCTTTTGGACACTCGCAAGAACCTTGGCACATCAAGCCTGGAGGCTGGGGTGCCACTGTGGTACACACAAAGACCGAAGAGGCCCTGCCTTGCCAAGCAGAGCCCGGTGTGGTGGGAGCACCACAGGGAAGGTCCAGGTCTTGGCCCTCAGGAAAGGGCACAGGCTGGAATGCTGCTCCCAGGCAGGCCTGAGCTTTCTCCTATTAGCTGTGGGACCCTGGACACAGTCCTCTGTCTGAGCCTGCTTCTTGTCAGGAAGCAAGGAAAGTGGCTGGCCCTGTGGCTCAACTGGATTGAGTATCTCCAGGCCCAGGTGCCTGAGCACAGCCTCCTCTTGGAGTCTCTCCTTCTCCACGTTCTGGTGACTTTGGTTCTGGTATCGCGAAGGCCCAGCAAACTGGGAGGGGAAGCAGGCTTTGTGCCAGGTCTCAGGCAGAGAGGAGTGTGGCATTTCTATTGCTGCCCAGCCCGTGGGGGTCTAGGGCATGGTTATACGGCCAAGTCATCCTCTCTGCTCTTCCGAGTCTCTTGGTGAAGGAGGCCCCTCCTCAGGCACACCCAGAACACTCACTGAAGGCCTGACAAACAGCAGCAGGGACACTCAGGCTGAGTGCAGTGGGGGCAGGCAGCTCTCCCGCCTGTGCCAGCCAATCTGACCTCGGCCATGTCCTCTGTGGTGGCCCCTGGGCATCTTCCCAGAGCCTTGCTCCTCCACTGCCACAGCCGAGCACTGCACCAGGCCCGCGTGAGTGTCGCAGACCCCATCCAGAGCAGCAGGTGTCAGGAGTGGCAGAGCAGCTTGCCCTGGTCACCCTGGGTGCTCCTACCCCTGGGAATCCCTGCTTACGGCAGCACACATGCATGTACCACTTGTTTGTGTCACTAACAGAATGAAGTGTTGGGTCAAGGTGGAGCCTCAAAGAAAAAGTCTAGAGAAAGAGACCTACTTCCTACCCTGGGTGCTGCCCCACAGGAAGAAACCCCATCTTGGGCCCAAGGGAGAAGGACAAGGTGCTTTGTGGCCTCACCTGTGGAAGGCTCCCTAGAAAGCCCCACCTGAGCTGTCTTCCCCAGCAGCTAACTCTGAGCCCTTGGGCTCCTTCAAGAGCACCTACCAAGGAGCAGCTGGGCACAGGGTCCCTCTTCACCCTTCACACCACCACAGGGAAGGAGCTCCAGCCATGCTTGTCTCCAGTCAGACTACGGCACGTGAGCCAAGCCACTCAGTGGGTACAGGCAGGGCAGGACTCAGAGCTCGAGCTCTCACCTGCCACCCTAGCCCTGATCCACACCTGGCCACTGAGAGTTTGCTTCAACGCAGGAAGGTGTGGGTGCATTTACTCCCATCACCAAGGCCACGCGGGACACATTTGCCCTCACACACGGGAGGCAGTCTGGTGACTCCTGCTGAAGTTGCAGGTCAAACTTTTGGGGCTAGCAGGACCCTTATTTCAAATACAATCTCAGAAAGCTCAAATACGTAGTTGTGACATAAAAAATACTTATTTTGTTTCTGCCCTGGTTCCTGATACAGAGCTCCTAAAGCCCTTGTAATTTCCAGGGCAATAAGAGTTTGCTGTTTGACCCTGGCTCCTGACAGAGCTTCCAATCCCTTGGGACATCCTGGGTGACAGGAGCAACTTCTGTTCTAATGAGGCAACTTTTGGTGACTCCTACAGAGGACTAGCCACTGGAAAGACCAAGCCACAATCAGAAGCCTGGGACTGTCAGCCCCAGCCTCATCCTCTGGGGAGGGGGAGGGGCTGGAGATGAGTTAACAACCCATCGTGCCTACATGATAAAGGCTACGTTGACATTCCTGAAATACGGTGATTTTAGGAGGCTTCCAGGTTGCTCAACACTGGGTAGACTTCATACCCAGAGAGGGCACAGAAGCTCCTTCCCCCATTCCTTGCCCTACGTACCTCTTCATCCAGCTGCTCATTTGAACCCTCCAAAATAAATCAGTAGTCAGGCGTGGTGGCTCAAGTCTGTAATCCCAGCACTTTGAGAGGCAGAGGCAAGAGGACTGCCTGAGCTCAGGGGTTTGAGACCAGCCTGAGCAACATGGTGAGACCTCATCTCTATAATAAAATTTTTTAAAAATTAGCTGGGTGTGGGGGCACATGCCTGTGGTCCCAACTACTTGGAAAGCTGAGGCAGAAGGATCACCTGAGCCCAGCAGATCGAGGCTGCAGTAGCTGTGAGCACGTCACTGTACTCCAGCCTAGGTGACAGAGTAAGACTCTGACTCCAAAATAAATAAATAAAATAAACCAGTAAATGTGATAAAAGTGTTTCCTTGAGTTCCATGAGTCATTCCAGCAAATTACCAAATCTGAGGCGAGGGCTGTGGGAACTTGATTTATAGTCAATTGGTCAGAGGTACAGGTGACAATAGGGACTTGAGACTGGCATTGAAGAGGGGGCAGTCTAATGGGACTAAGCCCTCATCTGTGGGGCCTGCACTAACTCCAGGTAGTGTGAGAACTGAAATGAGCCGGGCACGGCAGCTCTCATCTGTATTCCCAGCCCTTTGGGAGGCCGAGGCAGGAGGACTGTTTGAGGCTAGGAGTTGGAGACCAGTCTGGGCAATACAGTGTCTCTACAAAAAATTGTCTCTACAAAAAAATTTAAAAATAAGCCAGGCGTAGTGGCGCACACCTGTAGTCCCAACTACTTGCGAGGCTGAGATGGAAGGATTGCCTGAGCCCAGGAGGTCAAGGTTGTGGTGTGTTGTGATCCTGGGTGACCAAGTAAGATCCCAACTCAAACAAACAAAAAAAACAGACATCAATTATTGAACACTGATTGGTATCTGCAGAGTTGGAGAGCTACTTGGTGTGGGTGGAACCCCACATTTTGATGAAGTGCTGAGAGCACAGCAAGAAGACACATTTGCTTTTTCCCTCTGGTCGGTAAGACAGAGGCTCCCACAGATGCCTGAGGCCCAGAGCCTGGCCAATACCAGCCACTGTGGGGACTCACACTGCCCTGCCGTTCAGGAACTCCTCCGTGGCCTGGCAGTAGATGGTGATGGCCACTCGGGCATCGGCGTCAAAGGTAAACTCCAGGCTGTAGAGCACCCGGGGCTTCTCACTGTCCTCGGTGAGGCTGTCAGCATCGTCTTTGTACCTACCGCAGAGGCGGGGAAAGGCAGCAGGTCAGCGAGGTCATGGCCTCCAAGAGCTGCTGCTGCCCAGATGACTGAGGGGCCCACGGAGGCAGCTGCTTGGACACTTTTCTAGCAAACCTGGAGGCCCATTTCCCCTTTGGACAATAAGGTCCAACAATCCAGGGTCTCCCTTCCTTTCTCCCTGCCCACAGAAGAAGGGGGTGAACCCTCTGGGTTTAGAGGTAGTAGATGTCTCAAGTTTTGTAGATTTAAAGCAGTTTCTTAACTTGCTGACACTGGGGCTGGATCATTCCTGGCTGTGTGGGATCATCCTGTGCACAGAAGGAAGCTGAGCAGCACCCCTGGCCTCCACCCACTATGTGCCAGCAGAACCCCATTCCTTGCTGTTCCCAGACACTTCCTGGTATCCCTGGGGACACAACTGCCTGGTGCAGCTCACAGGCCCTTCCATTCCCTCACACCAGGACAACCCTGGGCACCTGCAGCCTTCTCACGGTCAGAGGGTGCGGACCAGAAGCCCCCTCAATACCTGCTCTTCTTCCCAAGCACCCAGCCAGAACCTCTGCTCTGAGGCCACACCTATAGAGCCTCAGGTGCCCCAGGGCTCCTGCTGCAGCGTTCTGGGGGCAGAACACAGGTTACCTCACAAGCCGGAGGGAGTCTTTGCGGATGTTCACCAGGCTCCTCAGCGTCTTCACTGGCTCATGGGGGGCAGGAGTGACATAGGGAAACTAGGAGGGAAAAACCCACAGCAGTCCCAGGTGACTCCCTCAGGAATGGCAGAGGACAGAAGATGAGTAATAGGTGCAGTAGTCACAGCCCGACTGGCATGCCAGGGTTCTGGCTCTGCATGAGGGGCTGTGCCGGGCATTGGGCGTGTTCCTCTCATTACGCTGAAGGAAGACACAGGCAACATGGCCAGCTTGTGGGTAAGCAGGCCTAGAAGTGCCCTGAGCCAATTTAGCCACTCGGCGGCAATGCCCAGTTCCAGGAAGGCCCCTCAGTGACTCAGCCTGGTCACAGGGACCTGGGGAAATCTCAGAGACCCAAGGCTGGACTCTCAAGTGATGTTCTCGGGGGAGGGATGTGACAGCTACTGCTGCCCCTGAACAAAGCAATCCAGACTGACAGGAACAGTCAGTAAAGACCCAGGCAGGTTCACGCACGCAGGAGTGTCCACTGGTGACACCTAGGAGGTGTGGCTGTGTCAATGTCAGCTTACTGTGTGACACATGCAGCAATTCTACAGGACGTTGGCATAGGGGAATCTGGTAAAAGACACACAGACTCTCTCCATCATGTCTTACAACTACAGGTGAATCTGCAATGGTCTCAAAATAGGCAGGTAAAAAGAAGAACCATGGAGGCCCATGTGAACCAGGCCCCCAGGGCGGAGGTGAGGCTACCGAGGAGACAGAGACATGGTCTCTGTTCTTGCTCCTGCTGACCCCGGAGGGTCAGGGGCGGCTCCCTGCTGGTTCCATAGGCAGGAGAGAGCAGCCCTTGGCCTCCAGAATCAAGGTTTCAGGTCAATCAGCAGCCATGGCTGGAACAGCTTGGGAACCCCTGGTCTAGAGGACATAGCCAGGCTCAAGGATGCCCCGATTCAGCAGCCTCCAGGGGAGGGAGTTCAGTGTCTCCTTAGGCACAGGGCCTCCTACCTGGCTCCTCTCCAGCAATTCCCTGCCCCCGCCGGCCTCATTACTCTCCACAAGACCCTGGTCCCAGGGAAAACACTCAGGCCCGCAGCCCTCACCTCTCCTGATGCGTCTGTGCAAGCCCCCACCTCCTAACAGACATCTCCTTGCTCTTGTTCTGTGCCTGCTCTTTCCCACATCAGCCGACACCTCTGGCCCTCCTGCAGGCCCCAACCCCTCCATCCGCGGCAATTTCAACCTCCACCACACTCCCAGGATCTGACACTTCTTCCCAATCAGGGCTGAGCCCCGTATCCCCAGAGGGCTTGCTGGGCCCCTGTTTATCACCACCCCATCCCTGCTCATTGGCGCCCTGCCTTCCTGCTCCTTTTGGGGGCTCCTTCCCATCCATCACAGCTTGGCTCAGCCATGGCCTCTGCAGTGGGGCCTCCCCTTCTGCCCCTCTCTTGCCCCTTTATTCAGTGCTTACTGTCCATGTACCCTACTACCCTAATAGGTCTTTGACTCTAAAAGGTCTTTGACCCTGGTTCCTGACACCAGGCTCCCTGTTCCTCAGAACTTCCTGGGTGATAGGAACACCTTTCGTTCCAATGAGGTGACTCTTGGTGGCTCCTAGAGAGGGCTGGAAATTCGGCAGGGTCTGCCTTCACCCCCAACCCCCAGAAGAGTGCCAAATGCCAAATGTGGGGAACACATGGACAGCTATGCTCGAACATGCACCCTCTGGCAACTAGTGAGAAACATTCACCAGCCATCTGCATCTCTCCTTTGGAGTGGGCCTCTTGCCCGCTGTTCTGTGGATTGCGGATGTTCTTTGGCTTTTTAAACAAAGTCACCCATGGGCCTCAAACAAAATCGATAGCATTCTGCAGCCACTACAGCCAGATGCACCAGTTCAATATGGCTGCTCTGGCCCTGGGGACCTGCCCCCGGCTGTCCTGCCTCTGAGGGGCGGTACAAGGACATGCCCCATTCTAGGCCACGACCCTCAGTCAGCTCAACTGCAGTCTTGCCAGGAGCTCTGCCCGCGTGCTCTCACCGCTGGGACAGACAGCTGGGGACAGGGGCCTCCCATCTCCACAGCCCCATAAGCCACCCCTGTCCAGACTCACCTGAACTGGGCGGCTGCCCAGAAAGTTCAGATCCATGTTCTCTCCAAAGAGATAACCTTCAGGGTGAGGGGTGTCGAATTTCTCACCTCCCATGAAAAAGTGTGAAGCAAAGTAGTTTCCTGTTTAGAGATGGAAACAAAGTTGTAGGCTCTGAGGTTCAACACAGCCTAGTGGGAGCATCTGACAGCCAAGAAGCCCGGTCCTGAAAAAGGTCCCATTCAGAGAAGTCAGCACAACTGGGCCCAAGGGCTGTCCCTCCCACCCTCTACCCAAGCCACCCGGGCTCTGGCCTTCCAAGGCAGCCTCCTGGCCTCTGTGCATGGCCAGTCTCAACACCACTGGGACTCACAACACCACTGGGGTTTACAGAATCAGCACCGTTCCCTACTCAACATCATGTCCTCATGTAGTGGCTGGGCTGTTTCCCCACAAAACATGTTAAAGACCTACCAGCTCCTACTCCCATATCTGTGCATGTGACCATATGGGGAAACAGGGCCTTGCAGATGTGATCAAGTTAAGATGAGGTTGTGTGGCTGGGCATGAAGGCTCGTGCCTGTAATCCCTGCACTCTGGGAGGCGGAGGCAAGAGGACTGCCTGAGACCACAGGTTCAAGACCAGCCTGGGCAACATGGCAAGACCTCATCTCTACAGTTAAAAAAAATTAGCTGGGTGTGGTGGTGGGTACCTGTAGTTTCAGCTACTTGGAAGGCTGAGACAGAAGGACTGCCTGAACCCAGCAGGTTGAGGCTGCAGTGGCTGTGAGTATGCCACTGCTCTCTAGCCTAGACAACAGAGTAAGACTCCGACTCAAAAAAAAAGATGAGGTCATGTGAATTGATGGCCCAAAACCCAGTGACCGGTTGGTGTCTTAAGGAAAAAAGAAGGAGATATGGACATGGAGACACACAAAGTAAAAGCCACATGAAGACAGGCAGAGCCTGGAGTGATGTGGCCAGGAGCCAAGGAATGGTGTGAAATACATGGAGCCTCCAGATGATGGAAGAGACCAGAAGGATTCTCCCCTAGTGTCTTCAGAGGCAGCAATGCCCTGCAGAAACCCTGAGTTCTGGCTTCTGCCTCTGGAACTTGAGGGCACGTACTTCTGCTGTTTCACCACGGCTAGTGGTCATTTCTTACAGCCACCCCAGAACACCCTCACACATTTCCTGACCCAGACTAAGCCACTCCGCCTGCCCCCACCCCCAATCTGAGCCCTCTGTACTTTTCCATCTCTTAGCACTAATCACAGTTTGAAACTCTGTGTAGATCTGGGCTGTTATTCATTCAGTATGACTTCCCCATGAGAGGACAGGGGCTGCAACAGGTAACCCCTACGTCCCTGGCACACTTAGGCACCAAAAGGAAAGGGATGAAAGGGGTGAACTGATCAGCCGCAAAGAACTGAGCTCACAGCCTCACTGGGAAGTTGCGAGGTACATGGCCTCTGCCCCACCTCCTGACCCCTGCCTCCCTTTTTCCCTGACTTCCACTTCTCTCTGGCACAGAGGCCCTCAGAGGAAGGTCTAGGTGACCACAGAGTTTGTGGAGTTTGCCAGGGCTCAGACCATGACCCCTCAGCTGCACACCGGCAGGGACTTCTGGGCACCGGAGTCAGGTGGGTCTTTCCTGGGGCTCCCAAGGGGAACTCTGGGTCCTTTGGGTTACCAGGGATGCCCTGCATGGATCTGTGCCCTTCCAGTTACAGTGGGCACAGCCACAGCCCCAAAAGCCAGCCAGGCTCAGGCCAGGAGCCTTCTCCCTAAGGAGGAGCCCAGAGGCAGGAGTCCAGCCCGACTGCTCCTGACCGCAGGGAACAAAAGGCAAGAACTGTAGTGGGGGCCTAACCCCAACCTTAACCTCAACCCACTATGCAGAACAGGAAGCAGTGAGGGTCAACTGCAGCAGGAAAAAAAGAATAAAACGGCAGCTAGTTAATCAAGTAGAACACCCTGGTTTTGTGGAACACCACGTAGCTGTTGGAATCAAACAGACCTGGACACAAAAACATGGGGGAAGGCCCAGTGACCCCGTTAACTGGCCAACAACCCAATGTCTCTGGGACAGCATTATAGTGATCAGACCCCACGCTTCAGGCTCTCCGTCCTGCTGATGCAGACTGAGGTAGGAACCAGAAAAGACCAGGCAGCCTTAGTTTGGAGGGAAGGCACAGGAGAGGGCAGAACTGGGTATAAGAGCCAGGCTTGTCTCTGTCAGGTCTTGCAAGCCAAAGCTCTGGGCTCCCCATTGCCCCAGGCAGGAAACAGGTCCCTGGCCTAGAAGCTTTCAGCTCCAATCTCCTCTGGGGGACTTTCAAGGGCCAGCCACTCTGTGTTCTACCTCAGAGTTTTCTCTCCTTAGGTAGAAGATGGGTGAGGTGGTCAGTCTCCAAGATGGCCCCAGTGGGTGTCACCTCCTGGTCATCACATCATGCTTTATCTGTATGGTATATATCTTCTTCAATGTATACCATACAGATAATGTATATGTATGATACTTATAAAACAAGAAAAATTATTTTTAAAATATTTGAGATATGGAAAGACGGTGTTTGTTAGATCAGTAATTATAATGTCACAAAACTAAAATATGTTCTAGAATTAGATAAAAGTGATAGTTACATGACTCTGAATATACTAAAAGCCACGGAATTGTATACTTTAAAGGGTGAATGTTATGGTATGTGAATTGAATCTCAAAAAAATTGTTATCAAAACTGGAAGGGGCTGAGGTGAGTGGATTGCCTGAGCCCACGGGTTCGAGACCCGCCTGGGCAGCGAGACCTCATCTCTACAATAAATCAAAAAATCAGCCGGGCGTGGTAGCGCATGCCTGTAATTCCGGCTACTCGGAA